TTTATATGTATGTGCAAGTGAAAAATCTAATATGTATGTTCTGTGACAAGCTGATGTAAAGTTTACTATGTATCTTTGAGTACTTTAATCAGATTGATGATATTGGATAATTCATTTGTTAAACTGCTACTTATAATGAGGGCCATAAACAAGGGGAACCTAGAAACAGCAGAAATAATGAAGTGCTATCTCACAAACTCTCAGTTTCTTTCAGTTAAGTCAAGGCTTGTTTCCTTGCAAAACTTTATTGCCCATGTGGTTTGGGAATTAATATGAATAGTTTAAAAAACATTAACTCAGAACAAGATTTATGGAAACAGAAAGAAGACTATATTAAGATTTTAGTGAGGACTTCAAGAAATTGTTCACCTGATTTGAGAAATGAAGAATTCAAATTGCCTTCATTAGCAGAGCAATATAGTGCAGAAAATGAGCCAAGGGGATTGGGTGATTTGCATTTTTGCTAAATAATCAAACAATTGTATTTTCCCAGCCTCCTGTATGCCAGAAGAACAAAAGGGAGAAAAACAATCACTCAGATAATGAAGTCTCTTGACACTCTGGCTTCAATTTAGGTTCTCTACACACTGACACTGAACTTGTGGTCTGTTTTATCAGATATTTCACATGGCTGACATTCAGCAATACTTCATCACATAATAATCACAATTTATACACCTGACAAAAAAATTGGGAGGGGGGAAAGGCAGGGGAAAAGTTGAAGTCTAAATCTGAAGAATGATTCATGCCTTTAATTCACTTAATGCATTGTGCTTCACTCTCTCTTTTAGTGTTAAAAGTATCAAAATCTGAAAATCAAAGTTGAAAGATTATGGCATAAACCTGCTGTAATGATCCCAGTAGTTATCAGCAGACTGGGTGCCATACCAAAAAGTCTTGGATGGCAATTTGAAAGTCTTTTGATAAATTTCTTTTTGTCAATTACAAAGCCCATACTGCATGATTCTGCACACATACATTACAACATCTTACTCAACATCTTGGGAAGAGTGGTTACAGCATTTTCTAGGCAGTTTTTAACATCAGCATATTGCCTTCAACAATTGCGTCCTCGCTTCACATCCTCGGAAGGATGGAAGGTTGAGTCAACCTTGAGTTTGTCAAGATCAAATTCCAGACTGTGGGCAGAATTGGCCTGCAGTACTGCACTCTAATTACTGTATCACCATCAACAACATAGTGACATAATAACTAAGGTTTCATATAGGAAAACCTGAAACCATGCAAACATAGCTGAAACCATGCAAACATAGAATCACATTGATCAATTCACTCAACTTCCAGACCCCCCTACCTTCTAAGCATTTATGAAATGCTAGCAGGGATTAATTGAGCCAAGTAATGGTGCTGTAGAGTAGAGTAGAGTAGAGTAGAGTAGAGTAGAGTAGAGTAGAATAGAATAGAATAGAATAGAATAGAATAGAATAGAATAGAATA